AGACTGAATTTCTTTTTAAGTGATTTAACTGCTTCTCAAGATAAGTAAATAAACTATTATATACTTATCAGACTGACTGCAGTATTAATATATAAGTAATTGAGACTATCTTTATTATTTTATAAAACTGAAACAGTAAATCAATCACATATTTCAACTAAGTTTATTTTATATCAGAAAGTTTCAATATCTGAATCTTTTTCTGATCAGAGTATTACACTCAATGATTAATTATCTGATATAATTGAAGAGTCTGAACAGTTATATTATATATTAAACTCTATCATATTCTAACATTCTGTATCATATTCAGTGATGTGACTGATTTATTTATTTATTAAATATCATGAAATTATTATTATTATTTAGAAGAGATATAAATTGTATTAACAATGTTTTGAATCTATGATATTTAAATTATTAGTCAATCTATTCAAAATTAACAGTAGTGTTATTAAAAAGTATTATTAAAAAGCAATATTAAAAAGTATTATTAAAAAACATTATCTTTTATAAAGTGAATATAAAAGTTACTTGAGTAATTACTTTCATCTCATTCTCATCTCAAGAACCAGTTATCTCATTATTCTTTATCTTAATATTAAGATTCTTTATCAGTGTTTATATCATAAGTTGAATCACATGAGCAATGCAGAAAATATGACCTTGTTTATTATTTCAGAAATGCAAAGCTAATTTTTGCTTCAAGCTCTTCACTATAGTGTAGTTATTCACAGCATTGTCAGTTGTAATTGTAAGAAGACTGAGACTAATATCTTAATAGTTATTTTTAATCACAGTTATTAATATCTCTGCTATATAATTCTCAGTATGACTACTGATTAATGATTCAAATTCAATTAATGTCTCTTAATAAGTTCAGTTCTCATCAATGTAATAACATATAACTCTTATAAATGTAAGATTATTTATACTAGTTTATACTTTCACTGTGAGAGATACTCTTTGATGATTCTTCAACTCTGATTCTAGATATTATATATTGACTTTGTAGTATATCTCAAGGTTGAACTGAAGACAGAATTGATATAGAATATGAAGATTTGAATTAAGCATTTGAAGAAGTGTTCAGAATTCAGAGTTTTCAATTGATTGAAGAGAAAGATTCAGAGATATATATATATAAAGTAATTATTCATAGAAGTTATCAGATGAGAGTTATGAAATCAGAGTACTGATACAGAGTCATTTTCACATAATTTTCTTCAAATTAGAAAGTTAGTGTTATTAAAAATTATTATCTGATAGAGTAACTTATTAGCTCAGTAGTAATTTTCTGATTATTTTTCTTTTATTGTCTGCATTCTGATAACTTCAGATGTTAAAAAATTTCTTCAGAGCTATGATCAGTTCATAATGAATATTTCTGAATAAAGTTATAGTAATTATAGCAGAGAGATGACTCTTCAGTAATCTGTAATACAATCTATTGATAATTATTCTATAGTTCATCTTGATATTTATGTTGAGTTTTTCATAAATTTCATGACCTGAAATCAGATGTGAAGAATAAAGTGATTATTCATCATAATTAAAAGAGAGTATTCTGTGTTAAATTGTAAATAATATAGACTTTGTAATTCACAGTGATTTCTTGAAGAGTTTATAAATCTTCAATAGAAGTAAAAGAAGTGAAAGAAGTGAATTCAGAAGACATGATAATAATTTAAGAAAGATAATAATTTATTTTTAATAACTGATCAGTGATCACTGATGTGTATAAGAAGAATTAATATAAGAGAAAATAATCTTATTTCTTAGCTTAGTTATAATTTTAGTACTAACTCAGATTGAATATCATTGATGTATAAAAGTAAATAAATAATCTTGATTAATCTCTGTCATATTTCTTGAAATATATTAATATTGTGAAAGAGAGTGTTACTAAATTGCATTATCAGATGATATTATTAAAAATATATTAATATTGTGAATATCACTGTTAAAAAAATGTTGATACTTATACATTATAGTAATTTGTGAATCATGATAGTTAAATATATATATATATATATATATTATTCCTGACTTGATTACAACTTGTACAATAATTTTTAAAAACTCAAAATTAATTTCAATTATTAATAATTATGAACTTATAACTAATTAATATAAAAAGAAAAAAACTTTTTCTACTTATTATCTTTCTTCTCTTTCTCATTCTTCTTATTATTCTTCATAATTCACTTCTTATTCTTCTTCTTCTTCTTCTTCTTCTTCTCATCTGAGATAATAATCATCTCAAAATCTCTCTTCACTGTCTTCTCAGAGAAGAATTTCTGCTGCTTCCTCTTAATCAGATTAACCTGCATCTCAAAATCCTGCATTCTCTGATCTACTGTCTCAGGTTTCATCTCAGCAGTAAGCAGATTGACATGCTCAGAGAGCAGAGCTATCTTCTCAATGTTCTGAATTATGAAGCATATTTAAGACCTGAACAAGGCCTCAATTCTCTTCTTCTCTGTCAGCTTCTGCTAATCAATTAGAGAACAGAAGTGTTATTAAAAATTATTATCTCTTAATAAATAAAAAACTTATCAGTTTTAACTTCTTTATCTTCTACTTTAATACTCTCTCAATCTTCTTCTGCTGCTGCTTATTTATAGTAACACTCTTTCTCTCTCTCTCTCTCTTCATCTTAGTCTCAAATCATTCTCAGAACTTTTTCTGATCTTATCACTACTGTATGAGACTCTTTACTATCTTCTTCTTCAATCTCTCATGAGTGATGTCATCTGCATTATTTCTATACTTAGTTCAGTCTAAATCTATCAGAAGTATTACTTAAAATCATTATCATTCTACTTTCTTACAGAGTCTCTTTAAGACATTATAATGTATCTTATAATCTATCTCTTCTCACTTGAATGCCTTCTTCTTCTCTTTCTTCAATCTGTGACAGTGCTCATGCGTCTTGATTAGACTGACCGTGTGACCGTGTCTGAGACCAGGATCAAACTTTACAGTTATCATATTGCCTAAAAGCATTACTTCTGATCATGGTTTATGTTCATCACATTGATCTTAAATCATATTATTTCAAATATTAAAGGTCTCAGATTCACTTTTCAAATAAAAATCTAGTTCTGAATAAAGAATATGTTTGAATTCTTAGTCACATTTTCATTCTGATTTCATTATTGAGAATGGCATTAAATGAGATTATGAAATCACTTCTCACTTACATAATATCATAACATAGTGCTCATTTATTGAAAATTCAACAGAGAGTGTTATCAAATATTGTTACTTTTCTGAACACAGATCATAATTCATATAATTTTAATTATGAAAAAAATATAAAATATAAAAAAAAACAAAAAATAAAAAACAAAACAAACACAAGAAAAAATCACATTAAAAAAAAAAAAAAAAAGAAAAGAAAAAGAAAAAAATAAAAAATAAAAATAAAAAAAATCAAGATCACAGGGCTGCAGCACTCTTAAAATACTCACTTCTCAGAGTCTTCACAATGTTCATCATCAATCATGTATTTCTCACAGTGAGAATAACACAGCTGTGATGAGTTATTGTCTTAATATTATCTAATAAATAATCAGTATATATCTGTATAAATGTGAATAATTAGAAAACATACACTTAAAAAGTGTGGCCAGGGTGAACTCTGCTGTCACTTGAATGATATCAAGAACAGAACACTGAAATCAATGATTCCTCTCATTGATTTCACAGACAAGGCATGTGAAGATGATCTTGAAGAATATAAGATTCTCTGACTTCTAATAAAAATGAATCTCACAGAGAGACTCTATTTTCATGATATTAGAGACTGAGTGTTATTAAAAAGTGTTACTTTCATGCAATGCACATGCACTTACTGCAGTGATTCACTCTCTGCACATGTGATCAAGAATTGCAGCTTTCTCACACTGCACAGCTCTTCTTGAAATGCTGCTGTCAGTTTGCAACTCACACAGTCTCTCAGTTCAGCACATGCTGTGTGTATGCAGTCCTGCATGCTGGGGCCGTGTTGATCATTATGGCCTGGCGTGGTACTTGCTTTTCATGAGCCATGTTTTATTTGAAGAGGGAAGGAGAAGACATGACTGTTGTTTTATTGAAGAAGAGATGAATAATTAGTATTATTGAATTAATTTGATTCATCTGTATTTAAAATTTAATTAGTTTATACTCTTTAATTTGAGGATTTCTGTGAGTGTTTTAATAGTTTTCATATCAGCTTGAACTTAGTGATGAGTTGAAGAAGAAGAGAAAAGAGAGAAGAAAGAAATGAGAATAACTTATCTTTATAATATGAAAACAGAGAATCACTGCAATCATTCTTCATAGCAACAAAGATCTGTTTTCTGCATGTATTTCTGATATAGATTATATGATAAATGTATACAAAGAATATCAATAGTGCATGTATTGAATGAAGATAATATTGCTATGCAACACTGTAGTCATTTCTGTACATCTTTAAAAGCTGTTAATAGTTTCTTTGTCTCTTTATGTTTGATAAGTTAATAATATATTCTGATGCACTCTCTCTTTCATAATCATCATCATTATCATCATCATCATTATCATTATCACTATCATCATCATTATCATCATTATTATCATTATCATCATCATCATCATTATATCATTGCCTGTCTTTACCCCTCTTTCAATACTCATTAAAATTAATCATATCATTCCTCTTCAAATATTCTGCGGTCCTGCGGACCATCAAGGCGCGTGAGCGCTGTCACAGATTGAAGAGAGAGGAGAAGAAGGTATTCAAGTGTGAGGAGACAGATCACAAGACACATTATAATGCCTTGAAGAGGCTTTGTAAGAGAGTAGAATGATAATGATTTTAAGTAACACTTCTGATAGATTTAGACTGAACTAAGTATAGAAATAATGCAGATGACACTGCCTGTGAGAGATTGAAAAAGCAGATAGTGAAGAGTCTCATACAGCAGCAGTGAGATCAGAAGAAGTTCTGAGAATAATTTAAGACTAAGATGAAGAGAGAGAGAGAGAAGAAGAGTGTTACTGTAAATAAGCAGCAGCAGAAGAAGATTGAGAAGGTATTAAAGTAAGAGACAAAGAAGTCAAAACTGATAAGTTTTTTATTAAGAGATAATGATTTTTGATAATGCTTCTGTTCTCTAATTGATTAGCAGGAGCTGATAGAGAAGAAGAGAATTGAGGCCTTGTTCAGGTCTCAAATGCACTTCATGATTCAGAACATTGAGAAGACAGCCCTGCTCTCTGAGCATGTCAATCTGCTTACTACTGAGATGAAACCTGAGACAGCAGATCAGAAAATGCAGGATTTTGAGATACAGGTTGACCTGGCTGAAAGAAAGCAGCAGAAACCCTTCTCTGAGAAGACAGTGAAGAGAGATTTTGAGATAATTATCACCTCAGATAAGAAGAAGAAGAAGAAGAAGAAGAAGAAGAAAAAGAAGAATGAGAAGTGAATTATGAAGAATAATAAGAAGAATGAGAAAGAGAAGAAGTAGATTTTTTTCTTTTTATATTAATTAGTTATAAGTTTAAGTTTTTAATTATTAATAATTAAAATTGATTTTGAGTTTTCAAAAATTATTGTACAAGTTGTAATCAAGTCAGGAATAATATATATATATATATATATTTAACTATCATGATTCATAAATCACTATAATGTATAAGTATCAACATTTTTTCAACATTGATATTTATAATATTAATATATTTTTAATAATATCATCTGATAATGTAATTTGATAACACTCTCTTTTATAATATTAATATATTTCAAGAAATATAACAGAGATTAATCAAGATTGTTTGTTTACTTTTATATATTAATGATATTCAATCTGAGTTAGTACTAAAATTATAACTAAGTTAAGAAACAAGATTATTTTCTCTTATATTAATTCTTCTTACACACATCAGTGATTAGTTATTGAAAATAAATTATCATCTTTCTTAAATTATTATCATATCTTCTGAATTCACTTCTTTCACTTTGTTTACTTCTATTGAAGATTCACAAACTCTTCAAGAAATTACTGTGAATCACAAAGTCTATATTATTTATAATTTAACACAGAATGCTCTCTTTCAATTATGATGAATAATCACTTCATTCTTCACATCTGATTTCAGGTCACAAAATTTATGAAAAACTCAACACAAATATTGAGATGAACTATGAAATAATTATCAACAGGTTGTATTGTAGATTACTGAAGAGTCATCTCTTTACTGCAATCACTGTAACTTCATTCAGAAACATTCATTATAAACTGATCATGACTCTGAAGAAATTTCCTGACATCTGAAGTCATCAGAATGCAGATAATAAAAGAAAAATAATCAGAAAATTACTACTGAGCTGATAAGTTGCTCTACCAGATAATGATTTTTGATAATACTAACTTTCTAATTTGAAGAAAATCATATGAAAACAACTCTGTATCAGTACTCTGATTTCACAACTCTTATCTGATAACTTCTGTGAATAATTACTTCACATGTGTATATCTCTGAATCTTCCTCTTCAATCAATTGAAAACCCCGAATTCTGAACACTTCTTCAAATGCTTAATTCAAATCTTCATATTCTATATCAATTCTGTCTTTGATCCAACCTTGAGACACACTACAAAGTCAATATGCAACATCTAGAACCAGAGTTGAAGAATCATCAAAGAGTATCTCTCACAGTGAATACATAGACTAGTACAAACAATCTTGCATTTATGAGAGTTACATGTTATTACATTGATGAGAACTGAACTTATCAAGAGACATTAATTAAATTTGAATCATTGATCAGTAGTCATACTGGGGATTATATAGCAGAGATATTAATGACTGTGATTAAAAATGACTATTGAGATATTAGTCTCAGTCTTCTTACAATTACAACTGACAATGCTGTGAATAACTACACTATAATGAAGAGCTTGAAGCAAAAATTGACTTTGCATTTCTGAAATGATAAACAAGGTCATATCCCCTGCATTGCTCATGTGGTTCAACTTGTAGTACAAACACTGATAAAGAATCTTAACATCAAGACAAAGAATAATGAGATGACTGATTCTTAAGATGAGAATGAGATGAAAGTGATTACTCAAGTAACTTTTGCATTCACTTTGTAAAAGATAATGTTTTTTGATAACACTTTTTAATATTGCTTTTTGATAATGCTTTTTGATAATGCTACTGTTAATTTTGAATAGATTGACTAATAATTTAAATATCATAGATTTGAAACATTGCTAATGTGATTTGTATCTCTTCTAAACAACAATAATGATTCCATGATATTCAATAAACAAACAAATCAGTCACATTACTGAATATGATACAGGATGTTAGAACATGATTAAGTTTAATATATAAGATGACTGTTCAGACTCTTCAATTGTGTCAGATGATTAATCATTGAGTGCAACACTCTGATCAGAAAAAGATTCAGATATTGAAACTTTCTGATATGAAGTAAACTCAGTTGAAATATGTGATTGATTTACTGTTTCAGTTTTATAAGACAACAAAGACAGTCTCAATCACTTATACATCAATGCTGCAGTCAGTCTGATGAGTGTATAACAGTTTATTTACTCATCTTGAGAAGCAGTTGAATCACTCAAAAAGAAATTCAGTCTGAGATGATGCTATAGTGTAGGCTATTGTTACTGCAAGGAATAAACTGACATATTACTACAGCAAAACAGAACAATCTTTTGCAGAGTACTATGCTATAGCAGCTCTACTAGATCTCTTCTGTCAAGTTAACATCTACACTTCTCAAGATTGAACAGAGAAGGAATGAGACTCATATGTCAAATTAGCCTGAGACTACTACAATGCTAACTATCAGAGATTTGAATGAGCAGATGTTCAAGATGTGAAGACAGTGAAATACAATTCTCTAGTAAGTAACAATCTTTGATAATACTTCATATCACATAGAACTATAATACTCACTTTGAAACAGAACTTGTATACATTGATTGCAACTGAAAATCAGGCAAAACTACATACTTATAAAACTGAATTTGACTGCTATCTTCAAGATGATCTGATGAATTTACACATCAAATCAATTCTAGAGTTATGAAAAATTGTTGAGAGTACATATTCAACTGTTGCACTGATGACATGTGATATTCTGACAATTTCATTGACAGGGATGAGAATGAAGTGAAAGTTCAACTCAAGTCAAGATATTTGTCACTATCACTGAGAACAATTACAAGGAGAAACAATCAAGAAACTCATGATTATAAAACATGAAATTATCAGACAGTTTAATACCTCTGATCACAGTATATCAGAGAAGTGTAGTTTTCATGAGAAAGTGAAGAATAAACTTACACAAGAATGTATTTAGTTGTTTCATGAGTATTATCAATAATCATTATTAAATTCTGATTATATAAGTAATCACTGAATGAATCAAATGAGACTGATTTTGATCTTCAGTCTCAGTCTCATTCTGATTTTGAAAGAATGATCATCTTTCACAGTTTATCCTGGAAAATTACTTTCCTTTCACTGTTCTTGAATTAAATCTGGTCATTTTTCACACCATTTCTCTCAGAAATGGTCCATTTTCAGATTTTTTTGAGGCTTGGTTCTGATGGGACTCACACCAAGAAATGTATGAGACCAGACCAAATGAGACCAAATGTGAAATTCATGGTCCCGCCGGCCAGTCTAGTCTTGATAGTTCACAGAACTGCAGAATATTTGAAGAGAAATAACATAATTGATTTCAGTGAGTGTTGAAGAGAGATAAAGGCAGAAGAGGTAATCAGAAATAATATAATAATAATGATGATGATAATAATAATGATAATGATAATGATAATGATAATAATAATAGTAATAGTAATAATAATGATAATGATGATGATGATAATAATAATGATGAAAGAGAGAGTGCATTGAAATATATTACTAACTTATCAAATATAAAGAGACTCAAAGAAAATATTAACAGCTTTCAGTGATGTACAGAAACAGCTACAGTGTTACATAGTAATATCATCTTCATTTAATACATGTACTGTTGATATTATTTATATACAGTTATTATATAATCTGTATCAGAGATATATGCAGAAAACAGATCTTTGTTACTAGAACAAATAATTACAGCAATTCTCTGTTTTCATATTATAAAGATAAGTTATTCTCATTTCTTTCTTCTCTCTTTTCTCTTCTTCAATCAATCACTAATTTCAAGCTGATATGAAAACTATTAAAACACTCTCAGAAACTCTTAAATTGAAGAGTATAGACTAATTAAATTTCAAATACAGAAGAAATCAAATTATCTTCTACAGATTCAATTACTCATTCTCTCTTAAATAAAACAGCAGTTACATTTCTTCTCCTTCTCAATCAAATAAAACATGACTCATGAAAAGTGAGTATCACGTCAGGTCATAATAATTAACATGACCTCAGTATGCAGAACTGTATATATACAGTGTGTACTGAACTGAGAGACTGTATGAGTTACAAACTGACAGCAGCATTTCAGAGAGAGCTGTGCAGTGTGAAAAAGCTGCAACTCTCAGTCACATGTGCAGAGAGTGAATTATTATAATAAGTATATATGTATTAAAGTAACACTTTTTAATAATACTCAGTCTCTGATATGATGAAAATAGAGTCTCTCTGTAAGATCTGTTTCTATCAGAAGTCAGAGAATCTTATATTTCTTAAGATTATCTTCACATGCCTTGTCTGTGAAATCAATGAGAGAAATCATCAATTTCAGTATTCTGTTCTTAATATCATTCAAGTGACAGCAGAGTTCATCCTGACCATACTTTTTAAGTGTATATTTTCTAATTATTCACATTTATATAGATATATACTGATTATTTATTAGATGATATTAAGATAATGACTCATCACAGCTGTGTTACTCTCACTGTGAGAGATACACAGTTAATAATAAATATTGCAAAGACTCTGAGAAGTGAGTATTTTAAAGATACTGCAGCTCTGCAATCTTGATTTTTTTTTATTTTTATTTTTTATTTTTTTATTTTTCTTTTCTTTTTTTTTATTTTTCTTTCTCTTTCTATCTCTTTTTTTCTTTCTCTTCTTTTTTTCTTTCTCTTTTTTTTTTTTTTTATTGTGATTTTTTCTTGTTGTTTTGTTTTTTGTTTTTTTATTATTTTTTGTATTTTACATTTTTTTTTAATTAAAATGATATTAATTATAATCTGTGTTTAGAAAAGTAATAATATTTGATAATACTCTCTATTGAATTTTCAACAAATGAGTACTATGTTATGATATTATGTAAGTGAGAAATGATTTCATAGTCTCATTTAATACCATTTTCAATAATAGAATTAGAATGAAAATGTGACTAAGAATTCAAATATATTATTTATCTGAGACTAGACTTTTATTTGAAAAGTGAATCTGAGACCTTTAATATTTGAAATAACAG